GGTCTCTAATGCTGTAACAGGAGCAGGCATCACATTCACAAAAGGCTTTTCCAAAAGTCATGAAGCCTCTGAACCTGCGGCAGGAAGAGAACGAACAGGAAAATCCATTTACAATTCATTCACAACTGACTCTGTCAGTCAGATTTGTATATTATTATTATTATATATATACATTTGATGTTTAAGTTATCCTAATGCAATAATATTGAGATTGTAAGTAATCTGTAGGATGTAGAGGTAATTCTCCCGCATTAGTTGTTTGGATTTAAAAGGTCAAGGGAATACGGAATGTATTAAAACACATTTGACAAAAAAATAAAGTTCAAGTGATGCCACTGGAAAGTTACTTGTGATTCAACTGTGAAATTTTGAGCCTGAAGGTCGTGGGTTCGAGCCTACCACGAGACCTTCTCCACCAACTTTGCTGATGTCTGCTGTCGTTGTGTCCTTGGGCAAGACACTTTACCCACTTTATCTATAAGGAGCACGGAAGTAATGCATGCCTTGATGTGTATGTGTATTCATCACACTGAAATGTCCCCACTGTGGGACTTCTCTTCATCCGTTGCCGAGTCACGGATGCAGGACTCCAAGCAGAGATGTTCAGACCACTCTCTCCACACACCTACTCCAGCTCATCTGGGGTAGTCCTGGTTCCCATGGCAGCTGAGAGACATCCTCTGTGTCTTGGATCTTTCCTGGGTCTCCTCCGGGTGGGACATACCCAGAATACCTCCCCAGTGAGGAGACCAGGCATCCAGAAGCCAGAGAAACAGTTATTTTTCTTACACAGTATTCATCGTTTTACCTTGATCCAGACCAGAGCAGAGATAATGGTCCCAAACAAGCAGATCAAGCAGAAATACACTTGGGGAATGCTTAATCACAGATTATTATTTTTAATTTTTTATGCTAATAAAGCATTCAGTATTTCACTCTGATCCAGAGGTGTAATGTAACGAACCAAGCGGCTCCGCGGTGGGGCTGAACATAGTATTCAAATACTTACTCATTTGCATTCCAAGGCTATGTTTAGCTACTTTTAGAATTATGTTTTTATTGTGTGGATTGATGTGTTTATGCTGCTACTGGAAATCTGAAATTCTCCTACGGGGATCACTAAAGTATCTATCTATCTATATGACGGAAGACTTTGTTCTTTTCATGCAAATATACCTGTTATGCATAGACATATTACCATTAAAACCATGAACCTTCCTCCATCTGCTGTTTTTCCAACCGTAATCTCTCCTTTCACCTTTGAAACGACACTTACATAAAAGCCTTGAATAACATTGATTTTTCAGTAATAATGAAAGTGGAGGCCCTTCGGTTTTAATCTAATACAACACAACAACCGCACGAGAAAAAGTCCAGGGGAGCGATAGTATACATTCTCCTGAGTAACAGTTTTACCACAGTCAACACAGGAAACAGAGGTTAGCATGATATGCTAGCAGGTGTGCAGAGCATCAGATGCCTCTAGCGAAGCCATTAATCTGGCATTTGTATTCATGTTGGATCAGACGGATCAATACGGGGTATCCCTCTCCTGCTCCAGATCGTTCCCAGGTTAATATCGCCGCATTTTACAAAGCGGTGCAGCTCAAGGACACGGACAAACTCACTTTTAAAGAATCAGTCTCAATGACCTGTGTTTATGCCGTACGTCTGCAATGGTCTGTAATAATGTCAGAATGCACGATATAGAACCACATGTGTCCCCAGACCCCCTAAAGTTACAGATTTTATTCATGCTTCTTTTATATGCTAAATTTGTATTTTATTGTTGAATCATTCTTCACTTATATTGTGCGGTGTGCTGTAACTCATTCTGTAACTGGTGATGCAACACTGAAATGTCCCCACAGAGACAATAATATAAGATCTCTTTATCTTTAAACTGATTACGTGATCTTAGTTTAACAGCTGTGACGGCAATTTACATTGCTTTAAAATTAAGAGATCCTTTTGCATTGTGGAGAAATATCAGTGTTGCATCATCTGGTACAGAACAATAGTTGTGTGTTGTCCTGCATTACAGTGTGTACTGTTTTGCTTTGATTACCGGTAAGTACAGGTGTGTCTCGACTGAGGACTGAGGGACAATGGCTTTGATATTCCAAAACATTGAGATCATAACCACAACTTCACATAACTGACTCGGCATAATTGTATATATTTGCTTTTTGATTATGTCACAAAAATCTGTCTTTACATAAAGCTAATGTAGTAGGTGAGAACGAATAGATTGGTCATTCAGCCAAATTCAGCTGAATTTATATGTGTAAAATAAATATGTATTAAAATAATTACCCTCCTCATACTACGTGCTCATGTAGTTTAAACTGAAATGGTCAAGTGGGGTTTCTCTAAGCTTTTGGACACGTTGCTGTGTTGTGGTGTTGTTGCTTTTTAAAAAGTAAACAAAAAATAAAAACTTTTAGACGACAACATTACGAGAGCCATTGCAGTCAGAGTGCTATAAAAGTGTTTTAATTTCAAGATGAAAATACAAAACTTGGAGCAGACAGAATTTCTACCAGCTGTTAAGGACTGTAATATTTTTTCATTTCCTCCCATGATGCTTTGCACCAAATACACGTGTGTGGCTCTCATGCATGTGTACAGAGGGGCTCTGCTGCGCTCTGACCAATCAGAACTGCTGATCAGAGAGGAGCTAGAGCGGGAGCTAGAGCAGGAGTTAGACCGGGACCACAAACGAGGAAAGTTTGTGGCACTAAAGTGTGGATTTAAAGAAAACCGAAGCTTTTAAGAAAAGAAAAAAAGTTCAGGATAACAAGGGACACTACAATCCCCACAAAATCCGGCCTTTATGAAAGCTGTTGGTTCTCTGTCAGCTGAAGTCGAGCTGTTTTAGTTTACAGTGTGAGTTCTATGGGGAAAATATCTAGGTAGCCCACGGGAATTTAGTCTCGTTTAGTCTGCAGTACCGCGAGAATCCGCCGAACACATGGGTCCTTCAGCTCAAAGCTAGTAATACCCAATCCAGAAATTATAATGGTCGCCACCAGATCATATACGAAATCGGGACGGAAGCGGAAGTAACAAATCTACTTTCGAATTAGTTTGAGTCTAACCTTAAGTGGTGACTAATTAAGTTTTAGATGTCCGAGAGAGAGGGTTAAGGTTAGGGTAAAGGGTTGGTTGGGGTTATTCTATGGGAAGATGCTACACATTAGGGTTGAATAATTCTTATTCTGGGTCCACCGTCAACGACCTGGGGTGGTATTGCAAGCATGTCAGCACACGTCATTTTGGAAATTTTTTATTTGGGACCCACCCCCACTGAATAGAACTCTACATTGTTTTGAATGTAATTTCAATTAACTATTATTCTTGATAACCAACCTCTGAAACTAATAACGACCGCTGCCAATGGCAACATAATTTGGGCTTCAAGTGGGTCAGATCACTCCGCAAGTAGTCCGGCCATTTTGTAAACAAGCTTTCAGCGCCACTGTGGTCCAGCACTATCTATTTCCAGAGTCATCTCCAACTGCATCTTTAACGGTCCAGTTTAACATGAATAAGTCGGTCTTGCTCTTACTCGCCAGTCACGCCATAGTGTGGCCACAGAGGGATCCGTGGTGTAGCTCCGCTCAATAAACAGAAATAACAATCCATCAACACATTTAAATGTTAATTGGATAAAACATTAGATATATACATTCCTAATACATATGCACAGTGCTTTTTAGAAATATATGTTAACGTTTTCATGACAAAAACACTGTTTTAATGCCACAAATTGTGATAAACCAGGAACTATTTTATTTGGAGTCATTAAGTAAGTCTCTCAGCAGTCATAAAAGTGGACTGAAGTTTATTTTGTGTGTTCAGTTGGCAGATAGCCGTATAATAAATGGGATAATGTATAGAACGCAGGTCGTCATCTGTAAATAAGTACCTCTGGGGCGGAAGCAGGCCCCAATGCGAACCAATGTGTACAGTATATTGTCCCTTACACATTTCATGTATTGGCTAACAAATTATTGAAGCATTCATATTGAATGTTATGTTTATGTGAAAATACTTTTACAATCCCTGTTGTTTGTGAACATTTCTGGTGAACGACAGTGACCCCTTTACTAAAAGTGTGGGCACCCCTGAGTGAGAGGCAGAAGAGGATGAGTGACTGGACCTGGAGAACAAAGCCTTCACCTTTACTCTGTTCTGTCCCTGTTCCAGCGGCCTGGAAACACAATATCACCGCTTTGGCACGTTCTCCCAGAATCCTCAATGTGGCCTTCGCTCGCTGCCAGCGGCTTCTCTCTGCTGCAGCCAACTGGAATGTTTAGCTCCACTTATTGCTTTGTCCCCCTCAGACGAGACAAACAAAAGGCAAAGTGGCTTTGGCTGTATCAGGTGTATGAGGTTTTCCAATAGCCACAGCGTCTGACAATAGGACGTCAGAGACGCTGAGGAGACGGCAGAGCAGAGGGAGGAGGCCCGCTCTCTGCAGGCGAGAAACCTGAACCTGTCATCAAACATAAAGCAGGGATTTCACAGGTTCTTAGCAAAGGTACGGTATGCACAGCAGGCGCTCCTTCTGTCTCGGCACAAGACGTTACTGACTGAACATCGGGTTACTACTCATTAAAGAACCCACAATTATCAGGAAACAATTGAGTAAAAGCTATTTCGAGAAAACAATTCCACATTCATGACACAGAGCTCCTGAGTTACAGCTATAAATATATTCATAGAGAGAGAGAAAGAGAGAGAGAGCTGTTAACATGCACAGATGTATAGAACTATATATTTTCATCAGAACATACAGTATTTTACACTTGCTTCTTTATTATGGTAAAGTTATGGAGGTATAAGCCGGTGATGCAATACTGCTATTTCCCCACTGTGGAACAAACACAAGATCTCTCACTGAATTTCTTTTCTTTTCTTTTTCTACCTCCCTGGGGCTCGTACAGCGGATAATGGGTGTGCCTACAATAACGTCACACGGCACAGTGTCAGCAATGAGCCTCTGTCACCTCAGTGAAATCACCAGTGAGTGATCCATAATGAAACAAAGTGCTCTGAGAAAAAAAACGTCAACACACTCAAAGTATTCCAGTTTTTGGCGACTAACTGTAATTTACCATCTTGAATCAGATTTTTTTGAGGTTTGCTTCAGCCAACCGCTTTTCAAATACTTCAATTCAACTCAAAGTATTTGTGTATTTCCCTAAATCACAACAGCAGGTATGTGTGTGGGTTTGAAATGAAATAATCCCATTCTAAATCTGAAGACACAATATGTTTTAATACAGTGGACTTTGACTTTCATTCAAGACGGTTCCATGAGACATTTTTCTATACAATTCGATGTGGTTCAGTAAAGATACATTTAAACAATAAAATATCACCATTGATGTGTTTATTATATAGAAGATGAGTGGTTATTAAAGTGAAAATGTAAAACAAAAAAAACATATTTATAGATCTATATGCATTTTTCTTGTACTAAAAATCAAGACAAATCAGCATTACTGGATAAAAAATATTCAGTAGTATCATTTAAAGGGGACAAAATGACATGACAGTAGTAATATTATCAGAAGTATTGAATATGCAGGTGAAAACCAATCAACAATTAAAAACGCATCAAAAAACAAAAACGTACATAAATAAATAGACAAAAAAGTGATACTTTGTCTCTTGCTACTTGGTATTAGAAGCCAAGAATATAATTTTAAAGTGTACACATATTATTTATTAACAAAGAAAACACACATTTTAGCACATCTCTAATTAGAATTGTATCAAAGCATATTTTCTTGCCAAGAATTCCACCCCTCATACGTACATTCATAAACTATAGACTTTACTAAACTCAGATTGTCCTGTGAAAGGCCGACCACGTGTTTACTTCGCTGCTAATTACTTCTCCATGAGGTGTTTTTAACTGTCATTAAGAAACACAAAAGCTTGAGCCTAAAATAGTTCGTAAATTCCCCACAGATTGGAAAGTATTGATCAGAAAGAGGCGTTCCAGGAGCACGCTGCCAACACCGCCTCAAGAGAAGAGTATTTCCTGCTCACGCTGGTATAAAACAGGACTGAGGCTTCTGCCGCACACACCTGAGGCCACGAGCAAAGAGACAGCAATACTATAGATACTACAAATACTACAGATACTACAGATACTACGAATACTACAGATCAGCATGTGGATCTGCATCTGTCTCGCTCTCGTCTGCATAATCGGTAAGTAAGATCACTGCTTATCTTCTCGTACACATGACAGGACAGCGGCAATACACAGGTTCAGTTTTGTTCTCCATGTAGCACCCTCGGTTACAAATATGCATGAAATTCAAATATGCAACATTAAGTTCAAAGGTTACGGCAAAATAAGTATCTAATGTATGTCCTAAAGAACATACACTATAACTCTCTCTGGTCTCTCTCTTGATAATCTTTTTGTTTTTTTTTGGTGAAAAAGGAGCATCAGGCCTCTCTCAGCCGGAATCAGCTCTCAGTGTAATGGGAAAGTGTCAGTTAGTTAGATCTTGAATGAGGCCATGTACTGTAGAATAATGACATATAAGTGCTTGATACCAATAAAGATCTATCTAACCATACATTATAAACTCATTAGCACTTAATAAGCAGTAAATTGTGTTTCTTACATAAACAGTTTAACAGGTGACTTACACTGACCATGTTATCTCTAAGTCGAAGTTACTGTACTGACCTGCAATATTCTGTATAGAAACATCTGAATGAAAGTTTTTTATCTTATTGGAAGTGGCTCTATTTTCTAATACAGAGTGATACTAATTGTAAACTAGCTGTTTAGCTATAATCTGGTGCAGAACATATCTGTCTTCAAGCTTAATATCTATGTACATTGTCCCTTCAAATAAGGACTAAACTTTATTGAAGTTGAAGTTTTAAACTGTCTGACTGCTTCTGTTGGAACCAAACAGTTAATGAAAAAACAGCAACACTTTCTTACCCCTGCTTTAATTAACAGAAAAAGTCCTCTACACTGTATTTTAATCCTACAGGCCGAAGCAACAGCGAGACCTATGACAACTTCTTACAGGGCGTACTGTTCACCAAGTGCCCCTCTGGCCACGTGCTCTCAGACATAACAAGGTGAGAATGCCATTGCTGATGCAGAAGAATACATGTGTTCAAATCCATTCTTAATAACCCACTATCTGTAATTTTGTGGCTGCTGCAGCAGTCCCTATAGCGCCTCTCACACTGATCGTCAGTGGAGGATCGGATGCCGGCCTTATCCAACCCTGGGGTCCTGCTCATGGTCCAGCTTTGTGGGATCAAACGGACTAGACTTTAACTTTGTCTGTCCTGCGACCCACGTGGTGCGAGGAGTCTACAACATGTACCAGCCTGCGTATCAGTCCAGAAAGTAAGATTTTTATATTTAAGTTAATAAGTTTTTGAGTTGAGTTTTATACAATGTAGCCTCAGGGCGGTTCTTCTGAAGGTTACACGCAAATACAATAACACACCTTTGTGCAAGTCTGGATCCTGTTTGTCTAGTTCCTGGTTCAACATAAACACATTGGATTATGTTTTAAAGATTAATTCAACACTGATGAACTGACATGCCACAGCGGGGAAATGTCAGTGTTGCATCACAAGTTACAGAAAAGTAGGAAAAAGGAGCTCACAGCACAAATGTCCAGAACAGGCAGCTCACAGCCCTCTTTCAGAGTGGACATTCTCTCTGGTCTCTCCCTTGTCTCTCCTTGTGTCCCTGTCTGGTCTCTCTAGTCTGTCTCTCTGGTCTCTCTCTCTCTGGACTCTCTCTGGTCTCTCTCTTTGGTCTCTCTCTGGTCTCTCTCTAGTCTGTCTCTGGTCTCTCTCTGGTCTTTTACTGTGGTCTTTTCATTTGGTCTCTCTCTGACCTCTCCTGTGGTCACTCTCTCTGGTCTAGATTCTTTAACTGTGATGTCACCAAACCACAGATGGCAGCACTTTTATGGCAGCACAATGGTGCTGCCATAAAAGCACCATTGTGCTGCATAATCTTAGAGTTAGTGGTAAATAAAAAGTTATTATTATACAGTATATAAACGTCTATCATTCTCTGCAGATGGTCCTTTGAATGTTGTCAATCTGCCAACATGGTGAACATCGATTGCCAAAACCACACCAGAGTAAACTACTGGAACGAAGGATTTCATTGGTCTGTCCCTGGAGGAAGCTACCTGAGCGGCTTCTCCACTGGACTCAGGAGCAGCGAAGGGTAGCAATATTCATCACTATCGTCATGGAAACAAACAGTTCACTTTATGCTATCTAATCTCATATATTTCATTTGAACAGTGACTTTCGTTGGAGCTACATGTATTGTCGAGCCGTGAAAAGTAAGAAATACACTAACTCTCTTCCCATGAATGTGTTTAGCAGTATATACATTCAAAATAGTTAAGTTAAGATTGTGGTGGAAAGTAGCTAAAATATTAATTGCTGGTAACTATGGTAACTGTCAAAATGCAGACGTCCGATGGCACAGACTAGTTGCCTTGCTTCTGTCTGTGTGCCCCAGGGCAGTTGTGGCTACAGTGAAAGTTTATCACCACAGTGTTTGGAGTGAAAGAATAGCGACATGTGTGTCTCAAGTGTCTTTGAGAGTCCAGAAAAGAGCAGTATAAAACCAATGCATTATTATTGTTTTTGTTATTATATAATCAACATTGTGAAATGCCGTTCTTAAATCTTTTTTTCTCCTTCTTTTAGACGACTTGTTAGAAAGCTCCCCAATTCTGGCTGCGAACAGAGACCAGCAGGACTCTCTAACTCACGGCGACGTCCCCAAACAGCGACGCAGAAGCTCGGCTGTTTGCAATTACTGCAAGTGGCCCGTGTACAACGGCGCTGTCCAGGTCTCCTTCTCCATCAGCGCAGACTTCAGCGAATCAGAGGTCGCCACTGTCACCAGCGCCATGCGAGCCCTCTCTCAGAGCACCTGCGTGGCTTTCGTCCCTCACACGCATCAGTACAGCCATCTCGTCATCGTGAAAGAACCCGGCTGCTGGTCCTACGTGGGGCGCCAGGGCGGGGAGCAAAAGCTGTCTCTGGGACACGGCTGTCTCTATCACGGCATCATCCAACACGAACTCATGCACGCGCTAAACTTTTGGCACGAGCAAAGCAGAAGCGACCGAGACCAGTGGGTTCACATCAACCAGGAGAATATTAGACCCGGGTTTGAGCATAATTTCTTCAAGTTTGACACAGAGAATCTGGGAGTGGACTATGATTACTATTCACTGATGCATTATGGGCTGAAAGACTTCTCGTCCAATGGCCAAAACACCATCACTCCAGTCGTAAAATCAGCGTCGCCAGGACAAAGGTTCGGGATGACAGACAGTGACTTACTGAAGATCAACAAGCTGTACGGTTGTAGTAAGTGGATCAACATTAAAAAAATACAATGTTATAGTTGTGTATCGATATCGTTTTGTATCTTATGACTTTGGGGTTTCCTCGTAGGTGCTTTCCTGCCAAAACACGGGGAATGGGACAATGAGCTTGGACAAGTTTTAAGCCGGACCTGTGCTCCTGGACACGCCGTTTCGCACATTAAAAGGTGAAATTCAAAGGCAGTCTTGGAGATTACGGATTCAAATCCAGAAAGCTTTATTGGTTCCAGACACAGACAGACCATACAGACTCTACACAAACACAGAAGCTACACAAACACACAGATGCTACACAAACACACCAACACTACACAGACTCAGCTTTTAGGTATTGGCTCTTTGGGATGTTGTGATGTCACATGAACCTGTTCACAGTGAGAGTTGTGCTATCATCTATTGTGTCATTATACTGTATGCAGTGTTGGGCAATGACTTTAATAACATTGAACATTATGTGATACTTGTTACTGTTATTTCAAAGTAATGTGTTACTGTCAAATACTACCCAGTTTTTTGGACTGCCTAACATTACTGTGTTTCACCAAAAAGCAACACATTACAGTCATTCCACTCCTTTTGTAGTGTGTTACTCCAAACACTGGTTATATGTAGTTATTCGTATTCTTCATTCGTTATATACAGCAGTGGACAGACCTCAGGAGATCGCTTGTGGAGACTGTCGTGCAGGTCCTTTCTGAACCACAAAAACTCTCTGTGTCAATGGTCGGCTTTTCTCAACAACCACCAGACCGCGATCGACTTCACATGTCCAGACAATAAGGTGATCTCAGGGATGTACGCCCAACCCAGCTCTGTGCAGAAAGACAGAAGGTAAGAGACATATAGTAATTTTATCGTCATGGAAACTGCGGTCGCTGAATAGATTGTCCGCAGATGGAAAGTCCAATGCTGCAGCGCTCTTGACTTTGTCTCATACGACTGCAGAACTACCTCGTACGTCAATTACTGGAATAAAGCTTTTGAAATGCCTGTAGCCAGAGGGAACTATCTCACAGGAGTGCACAGTTCCTACGACAGCCAATCACAGTAAGTGTTTCAGATCTTGCTCTGAGTGTGTGTGCGTCTGCGCAGTTATGAGCACTTACTATGTTTGTGTCGTCAGAGATCGCAGATGGAGGTTCACCTACTGCCAAGGCGGCGAGCACTGAAGACACTCCAGTATGAGTAGAGTGCTCCAAGTCAATGTTTTTATTGTATCGTCCTAAATCACAACGGTAGTTTTCTCGGAGGGCTTTACACAGTTGTCGATTCGCCAACGCAAATCAAAGAATAAAGCCATTCAGACACAGAAAATGCAATTATAAAAAAAATAGGTCCATAAAGGGCAGAGACCATAGTCCATAAATGTGGTTGAATGTGGAGTGTCCTGGATCACCACTGTCCTCATGTCAGACCCTCCCTTAGAGAGGAACAACTCTAAAAACCTAGTGGGAGAAAAGTGAGAAACCTCAGGGAGACCCACACTGAGGGAGGGATCTGCTCCCACAGACGAAATGGGGATGTAGATCCAGGACTGAGGCTGTGGAAGTATGACGATTTGTATTTATTTTATTTATTTGAGCATTTGTTAAAACACATGCAACATATTAAACTAGCAGAGTTAATCATTTGCCAAAAGAAAAAAAATAGACATTGACAAAAAGCACACCCAGAGCATGAACCTCTCAAGGAGTAGGAGGAACTGAAAACTTTATCCAGATGAAACGGCACAAAGTCATGTTGGAACATTGATGCCTTCACTGCTTCACATGAGAGCAGTTGAAAGATGGAAAAGTGTTTTTTATCGTGTGTGTTATGTGTATCTGTTTATTTATCTGAACAGCTATTGTTCATGGAACAGGTTTTATTTGCTCTGTACCAGAGTTTGCTCTCTTCTTATTATAGATTAATATTATATAACATTACAACTGTGAAAAAACTGTGCGACCTGTGAATTAACACTGAATAAAATATATAGAATTCAAGCATTGATTATGATTCATTTATATTTCGAAAAAAAATATGTATACATTGTTACTCAATGGGTTTGAATAAAAAAACATTTTTTTTTGCATTCTGCAGTCATTGTAGAATCATCATTAACCTAAATAATTGTTAGTTGCGATTGAAGTATTTTCATTTTCATTAAACTTTCAAAGGAAAACTAGATATATATATAAATTACTCATTAGTTGACATCAATTCCAGTGAGCGAATAGTCAGTTAATCCATGATCTTGTTTCAGTTCTATACTCTATACATACAGTGTATGTGCATGATGGTGATAGAAGCAGTTCTAGAGCTGATTGATACTTTATTGATCCCTAGTTGGAGAAATGCACCGTCCAGCAAAAGCAACACATCCATCCAAATAAAGAAATAAATATCAGTCTAAAAGTTACAAACAATAGCAGCACTTTAACAGCACTTTAGGTCACAGCAGCAGAGGTGGTGCAGTCGCTGGTGATGAGATCCTTTGGGTGATGTATGCAGAGTCTGCTTGGTTCGGACAAAATAAACAAAGTATTTTCTTTATTACAAACCCATGGAGGTTGAAATATTGCTCTCATAATTTTCAATAAAGACAAATAATTCCAAGAACACACACACACACAGTCATTTCTTAAGCTGTGAACCTCAGGGCCGCTGCTGACTGACTGGGGGAAAGTGAAGAGAAGCGGAGGAAAAAAAGACCTTGCAAAAAAAAAATAGAGAAACACATCAAAGCAGGAGGTAATGAAGCTTGTCCAATCCTGGAGAGGCGCACAAGAAAACAGAGATAGGCTGATTGTGGGCTGTCGCCAGGGGAGACGGAGCAGGGGAATTGTGATGAAGTTTGCAATGAGAGAAGAGAAAGCTGGGCACAGAGGAAAGACAGCCGTGCTCCTTTTACAGTCTTAAAATCTAAACTTCTCCCGCTGAAGACGCTATTCATGAATGTAAAAAGGTTAATTATGACATCTTATGTTTAAGGCTCAGACGTTTTTTTTTTTATATACGACAAAAGTGAAAAGAAGCTAGTTCGGCTAAATTAGCTTATAGCATTCTCTGGTCTGCTGTTGTTACTGGATGTGTCCGACAGATCAAACAGAATCTCTCATACTGACCACGCCCTCTCAAACTGACCACGCCCTTCTGGACTGGCCACGCCCCCTCGTGGTCTATGGAGAAGTGAGCCCCAAGAGTGAGACAAGCAGGAGGCCCCCTCGTCTCTGTTGATGGTCCGTGCCCTCACTTCCTGAATTCAAACACCTCTCGTCTCCATCTTTTGAGTTTGTGTTCTTCTGTTCCTACTCTTTCTACATTGTCCACAGTCCAGCATGTGATTTTCTTTTCTGTAGTGGTCACATGTTGCTGATTTGAGGTTTTCCTGTGTTGCTTTGTCCTTGGTTGGTTGTGAGTCAAGCAGCTGTTTCTCTTTTTGCATTTCTTCTGATGTTCCCATTTCCTGGTGTCAAAAGCTGGGAGAAGAGCTTTCCCCAGGTATTGAGGGGTGCAAATAAAATACATATAAAACTAATATACAGTATAACCAATCTTCTCATTTAGAGTGATCAGCCAGGCCACATACCCTGGTCCAACAAATCTACTTTTTATTAAACCAAACATCTTAAAATTATAGGATCTTGTTGACTTTTCATGGCAGCAGTGATGTACAAGGCACGCGATCTCATGCTTTCTCACCGTTTACAGATGTTTCAAACTAGAGAATGTCGATACAACTTCAGAGAAACTTGCTGCTACAAAAACCCTCATGATAAAAACAAATACCAAGAGGGAGGTCAAAGTCAAAGGGGGTGATCTATGGAACAGTCTACTCACAACTTGAGGGCCTCAGAACTACTACAGTGAAGTATAGAACACTTGAATTTGATCATGCATAATAAATCTTACTGTTGAAGTTTGCTATAAGAGAATCTGCATGTTTCACAGTTGTAAAAGGCGTTCGGGTCAGGATCAGTCTCGACTTCAGCCTAAACCCTCTCAGTCAGGCATTATTTAGCACTAACATTTTTTAATATACACCATATAGCTATAAAATGTACAAGATATTTGAAAACATGCGACGTAAGATCTGATGTTTATAAAGAACGAAGATATAAACTACTATATTTTCCATCCTACGTTGTAATATTGAAAATGTTGCACAAAACAAAATTCTTAACACTGTAAAAAGTGACTCACTGACTGTTATTAACCTTTCACTGGATATTTCTCTTCCAAAACGATTACTTCTCTTCTGGTATTTTCATGTTGACCAGGGCGAGTACAAAGGACTTATTTACACATCATACAATTTAAATTGCCCTCTTTAAGCCCTCAGCTAAAACTGAACTCTGACTGGGCTTGTTATAAACACAAACTGAAGCAATTTTTTATAACAGACCAGTTGTGTGAGCATCAATGAGTTGGGAGAACACCTGTGTTTGTATAATGTGAGTAGTATATAGTGTAAAATGTAGGGACGGACATACAGTAGATAGACAGATAGAAACTTTGTTGAACAGCAGAAGGCTCTTTTTTGTTGTTGTACAGTCAGTCAGGTTTGTTGTACAGTCTGACAGCCGAAGGAACAAATAATCTCTTGAAACGTTCTGTTCAGCAGCGTAGTGATAGGAGCCTGTTGCTTCGGTTACTCCTCTGAGCAGCCACAGTGTCATGCAGAGGGTGTCTGGAGTTACCCAGGATGCCTTGCATTAGAGCTCTCATCCTTCGCTCCACATTGCAAATTAGCCTTGGCTATAAATGTTGTAGTGTTTCACATGTTGATTGTGTACACTTGTCCCTATCAAATAAATAAATAAATTTGCCCTCTGAACTACTCTTCAGTTCTGTGGGTCGACTGTTACTTGCGCCATAGCAAAAAAAATTTAATCAAATTAAAATAAAGCTGCACATTAGTATAAGCTGCAGCATTTGAAGTACTAGAAAACATGTTTTATTGCATGCTCCACATGAGACTTTAGTTTACATGACATTGTGTGGCTGTTTCAGAGAGTGTGTTAGTGTTCGGAGTGTGTAATACTGTTGTTAGTGTGTTAATAATGAGAGTGTGTTTTACTGTTGTGTGAGTGTGTGTTAGTGTTGAGAGTGTGTTTTAGTGTTGGGAGTGTGTGTAACTATTGTGTGTGCGTGTGTTGGTGTTGGGAGTGTGTGTGTGTGTGTGTGTGTGTGTGTGTGTGTGTGTGTGTGTGTGTGTGTGTGTGTGTGTGACCAGGAAGTGTCTCTCCTCCTCACATCATTAGGCTCAACAAAACATAACGGAGCAAAGAAAGAGAGAAAAAGAATGAGCCAAAAGAGCATCTTTTTCAAATCAATGCATCTGACATTGTTGAGTGCGTTTATTTGAGGCTGGTTTAAAACAATCTATAAACGGTGGTGTTTTCAACTAATCTATGAGGGTCAGGGAACATAATTATGACGGCAATAATATCAGGCAGAATGCAGAGCTTAATTTGAGCCGGAACATGGCACCTCGGAACAAGATCTTTACACGTTTGCGAGATCAAAATACATTGATTCTATTGGAAGTACTGATGGGGGCAAGAGCATTGACCCTTGCATAGTAGTTAGACAATGAGAGAAAAATTAGTAGGTTAAATGGTCCATAAATAGTCCAAATGACATAACATGACCAATAAATCAATTGGTCTAATGAGTTTAATCAAAATGTTACACTGTTTTACAAACACAAATAAATGTCAATTTAATAAAGTTCCATTAATTATTGTTGAATAATTTAATGCATTCATTATCGTCCATCCATCTTCTTCCTCTTAATCAATTTATGGGTTGGGGGTTGCAGTCAGAGACGCCACCCAATTCAAAGAGCACCAGCCCCTCACTGATCCTCCTGCAGGTGGTGAGTCCACAGGAGGACATCTGATCTGTCAGTGAGAGCACAGCCTTGATCTTTCAGCAGGGGCTTCAGGCAAAGTGTCCATGGGCAAAGAGTCTTGCCCAAGGACAAAACAACGTCAAACCTCAGTGGGAGTCGGTGGAGAAGGTCTCATGGTGGGCTCGTACCTATGACTTTCAGGTTCAAAGGCCAATGCTCCACCAACTCTACAAACTGTAGAGTTGCACAAAACAACACAGCCAAATTGCAGCTGTTAACTGCAAATGTTCAACAGTATGTATTCAACAGGGGCGACAGTAGCTCAGTTGG